CAAGGTCATGTAGTGGTTCATTCCTTAGCTCTGAAGAATGGAACTGTTTATCATGGTACCAGTTTCCTTTACATTTAGATATGACTGTTTATGACCTGGTCAGCCATATATAGCCCAGCTTTGATTCNATCATGGTTCCTTTCTTTGTTACAGGATTTTGTAAGAGCAGTTGCAGATCATTAAAATATGAATTCTGGGTCCAATTTCATGAAAGCATGTGTAATATAATATTAATAGAGATATTACAGAATCAATAAAATGTCACCCATCAAATATGTTGCAATTATAAAACTATCTGATACAACAAAAAAGATTAGGTTACATACAAGAGTAAATTTCTACGTAAATATGTTCCAGAATAAACTGGCCATTTTCACCAGTAAGCCTTGAACACACTGGTGAATTGCAATCACAGCAGGAAACATCATGATCACACAGCTTTGCATCTTAACCTTTAACTATGAATCTTGCATATATCCGATAGCAACTAACACACCGCTGTGGCCGAATGTTATATTTATCTAACGCAGGACAGTACTCTCTTTGGGAATGGTGACATCTTGATTTTCAGTTTGAAACCAAAACAAACCCACCCAAGGTCATGTAGTGGTTCATTCCTTAGCTCTGAAGAATGGAACTGTTTATCATGGTACCAGTTTCCTTTACGTTTAGATATGACTGTTTATGACCTGGTCAGCCATATATAGCCCAGCTTTGATTCGAGAACTGAGGAGTAAATATTCATCTGTGCTCACATGTTAGTGCTTCTAGAGCTTTCAAGGAAGTGTGACTGATTCAAGGATTTGTTTTCAGTACTGAATTATCAGTTAGGATGTCAATGTCGGATTGTCATATATTTCTTTATATATCACTTTTATTTTGTGTCTCGGAAGAGGTATAAATCCACTGAGCCAGTATTACTTTGTGAGTAAAAGGCATCTTTGTCACTGTGACTTTCGGTATCAGTGTCAGACTGGCACTCTTTTTGACTAGTATTATAATTACTTTGCATCACTATTTTGCGAGTATTACTAACAGGTGAGTGTGTCGCTTTGTTAATCAGCATAATTGAAACCCTCTTCCTTCAAGAAGATTCTTTAATTGCATGAGGCTAATATTATGGTCACTGGTGTTTCTCAGGGGAGGCAAAGTTCATCTGGGGCCCAACTGAGTCGACTGGAGCTGAAACATTCACAACACTGGCCAACGAAAGGAAACAAAGACAATGTTGTGTGTGTTCGGTAAATAAGAAAAGCAAGAATACCCGTTTCTATTAAGTGTGGTGTTGGGCTGTGTGTTGCGGACTGCATCGAGAAGTGCCACGCGCGTCAGAGTGTGAGGTATCGTAAACTGTGAAGTGATGCAGTTCAAACTTGCGTACAGTCTGAACAAAATATTATTGTATATAGTATGATTACCTTTACAAAATAACCATATCACAAGATTGACGAAAAAACTACGGGTTAGTCCTCTGGAATTTCGTAACATAAATATAATAAAAATTATATTTTGCAATTCGTGACAAAATAATCATATTTATTTTCACTTGTAAAAATTACTCTTTTGTGTATATGCAGAAAATTTTATTGTCTTTTAGGTTGTGTTTAGTTCGTATTTGTATGTTGCATCTGAAAGTCTGCAATCTTACAGTTTTAGGGCCATTTAAATTCAAGCCACAGAAGGCTGCTGGCAATTTAAAAGTCTGTATGTTAAAGGTTAAGGTTCTGAGAAGCTGGAATAAAACTCTCGATGCAAAACAGTTTTACAATTATATCGATTTATAGCCGTAACATGCATATTTCTACAAAACCAAACACTGTGGGTTGAGGTAACAGTTTTGATACTGTTCCATATAATGTCAGTTTCTAAATAATCCTTACAAAACCCCTCAAAACAAGAAAGATAAACAGATATAAAATACTGCAGAAATATTTTTAGTTTTTACATTGTCATAGATACAGCTTCCAACTGATTTTTCATTTTCCTCAGTAGCATTTGAAAGAAATATCCAATGCTATTGTATGGAATTAATTTAAAGAATCTGCATAAATAATGTGACCATCAGCATAACAGCTTTTACAGCCAATTTTAAACAAGCAACACCTCCAATGACAAAAAAAAATCATATACTTTTCTGTGAACTGAAAATAAACACAATAAAAATACTGTATTCTATTTGACAAAGTTACTAGTTGCAACTTCTCTCCCTTCTGGGAGACCCACTCTGTCACCAAGGCTATTAACAGATTTTGCATTACAGAATACATCTCAAAAAGTCTTCCATTTAAAAATCGTAAGGATGAAGGAATCACACAACATTATACTTAGAGACAAACAGTTAACAGCAAATACCTATGATTTCAGTATTTCATGATATGCAAAAAGACCAATTTTTGAACATCAGCCAACCATTATGAAGATACTGAAACAAACACCACCAGCAGGAGTCTTTAAGTTTTTCTTGAATGAAACTATGGAGAAAGTTTAAAGATATACTATCTACATGATTTCATACACAGTAAATTAAGGTTAAATTGCAATACAGTAGATGCTACCTGCAAAATAACCTATGGGTTTAGGACACAAATTTATTGTTAGCATCCTTTAACTGAACTCTCAATGGTGACAGAGTTCAATATGGGTCTCCTTATTGTCACTTACTCCTCTGACAAAATGCTCTTACCTTCATCTTTTTCACTGACACTGCAGTACAGTTACTTAGTATTATAACATAAATTTGTTATTCCTGTTACTGATTCTCTTCGTAACAATGTAATTTATACATTACTTCCATATGCAGTGGCTTGAACTGCACATATGACAAGATGATCTACATGTCCATTATTTCCTATGCACTTGCATTATTCTCAGCTTCACTGTTAATTGCCTCCATATTCTTCTAACCTGCTACACTCATGTCAGGGTTTGTTACGAATCTTGGTAGGAGAAATAAATTACATGAATAAAATATATTCTTAAGGTACTATGTACATAGTGTAGATCGATAGTAGCGAAGAGGGGAGCTTAATACTTTGCGGACCAGCAATTTAAATATTTAAATCACTGTGGGGACCGGCATTTTTAAACCTACTACCCTAACTTGTGCACTGTTCACTTTAAAAATTAATATAAAATCTCATAATTAATTTTATGAACTAAAATTTTTGGAGAACACTTACCAATGCTCCTAGAAGTGCTTGAGAGTGTGATATTTCTGGACACATTCCCCTTTGTGAAGTGGCATTACACAGAACTTGCAAATGTAGGCATACTCCTTTTTCTTTGAACTGTGTAAACACAGCATTGCCTAGAAGGATGCTTCCCCTTGGAATGTTCACTCTTCACAATTTTCACAAGGGTATGCTTCTGCATATCACCCGAG